AATATTGTCCGGATTGTCTTCTGTGGCACTTGATCACTTTCACACGCGCACACACGCGCGATTAAGTGAATTTCTTTCATACTTTCTTTAAAAGTTGCTTTTGATAATGTTAATTCACGTTGAAAAATTTAGACGTTAATTCACGATGAAAAATTTCACGTATATCAAACTATTACCTTGCTGTTTCGAGATTTGTTTTTTTGTAAAATAAAGTATTTTAAATATATAAAACGATGTATTACAATTACACGTAACTCACATTTTTTTGTTATATGTATGTTATAGCATGATATGTGGAAATATATTTTTTATTTGAATTTTACAGAGAATTTTACAACACAACCACTCTTTAAAATCGAGTCAACATAAGAACTACTGAATATAAAAAAATCTATAAAGTTTATTCACCTCCGAACTCTTCTCAATGACAGTTAAGATGACAATGGTACCGCTTGCACCCAAACTGTCANAGAGAAGAATTCGAAAATGGATAAGAAGTTATAGATTTACCGCGGTTCTCTTAATAAAGAGTATTAACGAAACTCTAATAATGTGTAAAATATTAATTACCGTATTGTAAAATTCTTCTGAAGATTGAAATAAAAAATATAATTTCTAATATATGTTATATACAATATGTAACAAAAAAATGAATGTCGTTACGTGTGTGAATCGATATATCTTTTTATGTATTAGAATAATTATTTTACAAAATAAATAAATGACGAAGCGGAAGACTAATAATTTATATACGCGAAATATTTAATCGTGATATACGCGGTATATTTACGAGAACAAAATTATATAATTAATTCGCGAAGAAATTCACTTATGTACGAAATTGCGTACAAACTTGTTATAATGAAAAAGAAAAATTTTTAATCGCGCACAACCCGACAACACGTCTGTTACACTTGAGAGATCGACGAGATCTGAGGCTACGCGCTGCGCTGTGAATAGAGCGCACGCATCCCTCACTATGCGCAAAAACACTCGCCGGTTGGAAAAACACCTCAGTTGTTGAACATAACACGTTTATTTTTCACATTCTTTCATATTCAAATTTAACATTTATTACATTTCTTAATTCTCTTTAAAAGAAGAGAACATTTATAACATTTCTTAATTCTTTTTAAAGGAAGAAAACATTTATTACATTTCTTAATTCGTATATCGAAATAATTCGTATTAAGAGGTGTTTTTCGTAATTATTGCTCGGATAGAAAAACGGCTCTACAGAATTAATTAATACGAATTATTTCGATCGGTAATAACAGGACGGTCCAGGCCCCTCTTAAAGAAAGTGACCATTTAAACTCGTGCACATAGCACAGAATAGAACCGCACGCTGTGGACATAGCGCATCGACATGTCGCTCGTGGACTGGCTGCGTAGTTCTAATGTATACCACCCGTGGACATGCGCTAGTTTACAGGGCGGAAAAGTGATTACACATTCTCTTATGGGCCTGGTCGCTCTCAGGCTTCTCTCTGTTAAAATCGACGTAACCCATGTATATGTATTATTTGCGGACGTGTACTCGCAGCCAAATCGTAACGCTCGCGCAACCTTGCGTTACGTCACGTTTCGAAAACAAACAGGTTTCATGCCGTTGTAAGTACGTGCGTGCACGGCATGAACTTAACCTCCTCCATTCCCCACGATATATGAATGTTTAATTTAAAGAACGAAGGAGTGACACATGTCAACATGTTATTGTGCTGATTCGATTGAGAGATACGTTGCGTTTACTCGCGAGGATGTTCGTCGACTCGTCATCAAGTTTTGCAGCACGAACTTGATAATCTATTTCGAGTCGTACGCAATGCGTTAATCGTTTATTTATAACGCTCCGCCTCTTTTCGAGCGATCGTTTACGAAATCTTTACTCTCGTCATTGTCACATTACCGCAAAATGTGTTGAACTGTGGTGTTCATTTTCTTTTTCATCTTTTTTTTTTTTAATTTTGTATTTATACGAATTATGGACGAAGTTTGGTTCCATTTCTCGAATCAACTCGAAACGCTACAGGTAATTTTCTATAAGTCTTTCTAAATCAATTTTCGCGCGCGCTCGCGCTTTTATATAATTTTTTTTTTTTTTTTTATCTTTATAACACACTCTTCACAGTTGACTTTTGTTTCCGCTCAAAATTGAAATAATCCATAAAATATATTGTTAAAAACTTGTTTTTGTCATTTTTTGTCACAGTTTTGAGTTTTTTTTCGCATTGTGCAAATAACATGAGTATCAGTTATTTGATAAGAATATTAAGTTGTTTTGCATAAAATATATGTAAATAATATGTATATTCGCTCGTATATTTACGTATAAACAATTTGGGAAAGGTTCAAGCATCTGTAATTACTCAACAAGGACAACAGTGGTGCATGACATGGCTGGCTCAATTGCGTCAGTTGATTCTGCAGCTTTGCGAGGATCAACATGCACAACACGCCAAGGACATTGTGCTGGGCATGGCCGCTTCTGTACAAAACACCTGGCAAGAGATTCAATTCCAATATTACAATGTACATTGGAATACATTAGACTTCTATCGCCAATTAGGAACATTGTACATTAACAAAGGTACACTGAACACAATCAAACTGTTTCATTTTTTTTTTTTTTTTTCAAATTGCCTATGATTGTTCATAACTTTATTTGTGCTTTTGTTATTATTTGTAACTCTGTCTGTTCAGTTTCAAGGAGAGAAGCAATGTTTTGCTTGACAGGTGTGATGTTTGGAACCTTAATAGGTTATTACATTGGTGTAAATCGAAAGTTTATTTCTCATAACATTCATCACATGAAGGCAATTACTTGCCACCATTATTATGGTATTGAGGTACACTATTTAATATCTCGTTCTATTACAGAGTTTGAATGTAGAGATTATTTCATACTGGTTTTTTTTTTTTTTTGGGGGGGTCACAGGGTGTATTGATGGTGGAGGATGCCGAAATGCCAAGAATAAGAAAGTCGAACGAAGTCCTGATACAAGTTAAAGCCGCTTCGCTTAACGTTATCGACACGAAAATATGTTCCGGTTACTCGAGGATTTATAGAAAATTACTTAACTCGGGAGTAAGTAAAGCTTCTCAAATTTACACGTGTATTGAGCGCGCTTCACGATAACGTCGTAATGGGTGAACTTGTGTGTTCAGAGACAGAGAGAACTACCTGTGACATTAGGGAGGGATTGTGCAGGAATAATAGTCGACACCGGACAGAAAGTCGCTAATTTCGATATAGGTGACGAGGTGTTCCTAGCTGTTCCGTCGTGGGCCCCCGGCACGATGGCGGAATACATAGTTGTTTCCGAAACGCAAGTAGCAAAACGGCCTAAGTCCTGTAACTTCGAAGCCTGCGCCAGTCTGCCGTACAACGGCTGCTTGGCGTGGGACGCTTTAGTCAATAGATCAGTTATTAAGGAAGGCAATGCCAAAGGAAAACGGTAGGTTTTGATATTTTCCAGGGGTGAAAAAAAAAAAAAAACAAACATTAAATTGTTGTAACGTAAATGAAACTATTGTTACAGAGCTCTCGTTTACGGCGGAAGCACTCCAATCGGTTGTATTTTGACGCAGCTGATCAAATTGTGGGGTGGATACGTAGTAACCGCGTGCAGAGCGGAAGCGATACCCGTGATGAGGGCGTTAGGCGCCGATGAAGTTATAATAATAAACGAAATAGATATAGAAAAGGAATTACAGTTGCACGATAGGTAACGAAAGTTCAATAAACGAAATACGATGTGTGTTCGAGCTTATAAATTTTGTAAGATGTGTGTGGGGGCCGCGATTAAACGATATTTTCCGATTTTTAATTTCGTTCTTGCGCACTTTCTTTCATTACAGATTTGATGCGATTTTTTATACCGATAATCAACCCTTTCAAGAACATATTTTTACGAAATATTTGGTGCCCCACGGTTCTTACGTATCTACCGTTCCCGAACAGTTGACCTCAGACTCGCTGGGATTTATTTGCGGAAGTATATTCGCTGGATGTGTTAGAATAAAATTACTGGTTCAGGTATGGTGTTGTTCTAATACACCAAATAGTTGATGTCAATGATGAAGTCCGATTTATATTATTGATTAATGTTTAAAATTATTTTTGTAGTATATGTTTGGATTTAACATGCATCAGTGGAATGAAGGTGCGAAATTGGACGTCGCGTATCTGCGCGCTCTGAGCGAGCTAACCGACGCGTATCAATTGCAAACGGTCGTAGACAGAGTGTACGCGCCGTACAACATCGAACGTGCTCTGGTGCATGTTCTAGATCCGAATTCGATCGGTAGTACGATTATAACGTTTCAGTGACGCTTTATCTAATCTTTAATTCAGTTTATCCTTTATACAACTCTACATTTCTTGTACATAAAAATAGTCTGTAAACTTGCGTTCGCGTGCATTTGATAAATGTAATCACTGCCGCATATGATTGTTGAATGAATTTACGTCATAACAAATTGGAAAACAGTCAAAAGATATATTTGATGCTGAAATAAAGACTGAGAACGAAACTACTACGTTTGCCAACAATGAAATCGAGCACAAAAGTTCGTTCTTTTCTAAATTTCTGCAAAGTTGCGTTAAATAAGAGAAAAAGATATGTGTAACAAATATAAAATAAATATAAATCCTAATCCAAAAGTATTAATATTGTTATTGCATAAAATATAATCAGACTGTTATGATTACAAATTTTTATACAGACACGCGCGACAAATAATTATTATTGATAGTTTATATAGCATATTGAGAAAAAATGTTGTACATGATATAATATATATTTTACTTCAAATAAATAGAGAAAAATTTTTTCGACGAGACTATAATTGTGAAAGTATGTACATAAGTAAAAATGCAGTATACAATTACCAATGAGATAAGAGATTCTCGATCAAGGATAAGCACGAAAATATACGCACATGCGCCACACTTATATGTTCGATAGTATTATAAAGTTATGATTAGAAAATTTTGACTCGTTACTCTACTTTGCTTTACCTCGAAATTTACTGTTGCCTGCCGTCTTTGCTTTTTTGGCAGCTGGCTTTTTTTTTTCTTCCACCTGTAATAATGATCAAAAACATTTGTATTCACAACTAACCAACTTGTCGAAAACATATATTTTTTTACCTTTCGCTTTGGACTCGGAGTTGAATTTGGCAAAACTTTGAAGAACGAATCTAATCGGCCTTGTGTGGACGTATGTCGAGCCTTGTGAAGTTTCTTAGCTCCACTTCTGACTCGTTCCTCGTTAAATTGTTTGTCACCGCATAAAAACTTTACCAGACCTTCCTCGTCTGGATCGGACCATTTTAACTTGAAAAGAAATATATTTGTATATGCACGCTCTTGCACGCAAGGACAAAAGAATTTAATATAAAAAAAATTACTTGAATATCATCCACGTTGGATACTTCCGGTTCCTGAAACAATAATCTCGCATCTTTGTAGTTCCAATCGTCAGGTATGGGATATTTCTTGGTGTCTAGATTTTCGATAATTTTCTCCAAGGACCTGTAATTCTTTATCAATTCTATTGCTCTCTTTGGACCAACACCTTTGATACTGCCAGTGTAATCACAACCCAGCATGATACAGAGATCGATAAACTATAAAGTACATTCTGTGTTAGAATAGTTAAGAGACATACATCTTTGGTATTAAAGAAAGATGATGAAATACATACCTCATTGTGATTTAATTCTAAACCTTCAAGAACTTTGTCAAAATGAATTTCTTGTACAGGCAGCTTTCTGGCTTCGCTAAAAGTTAAACGTCGAAGCAACACGTTGCAGCCGAAGGTAAGTGCGTCCATATCTTCTGTGGCAGTGGCAAAGACTTTATCAGCTTTTACCAAAGCTGCACATTGTGCTTCGGCTTCGCAAGGCGCCTAAATAATAAAAAAAAAACGATTAAAAAATCAATAAAATAAACTACATTGATCACACAAATGCTTACATCAATATAAGGTATACCCATTAATTGGAGCAATTCTTTAGCTTCATCAGCATGAGTTTTTGTAACTTTAACCAATCTTCTATTAAATTTGTCTATTGCTTCCACATTGCCTTTAATTAAAAATATTCCCTGTTACAATCTGCAGCCTTCTATTTTTCTTTATGCAGATAACTGTGTGATAAATTCAAATCATCTTAAAGATTTATCTTTACCGTCCTCTTCAGCAGCTTGCAGGAGTTTCTGTGCTTCATCTCTTCTCTCAGCTCTTTTGGCTAATTCTCCACCTTTCAGATTTGGTGGTTTCCCATCAAACACATATATAGGTTTTATTCCTTGCTCCATTAAGCGTATAGTACGATAAAACATGCCCATTAAATGGCTGTGTAACAAAATTTATTGCTATGTATATGAAGTTCTATAAAAACTTAAAAAACAATTACAACAAAAAATACATTACAATATACCTGGTTGTTTCACCGTCTACAGTAGTGAGTTGAGCCCCTTCACTGCGCACAGCTATGAGAAACTGATACAAACACATAGATGCATCAATGGCTATTTTGCGTCCTAAAATGTACAAAAAAAAAGTTAATCATATTTTTAACAACAAAAATTATATTATTCAAAGACAAATTAAAATGTGCACATTAAAGTGTTATATAATTACAATTTATTTAAATTTGCATTACTCACAAATAGATCTTTATTTTAATACTGAAATATTGAAGTTTATCAGTAAAAAATTAAAATTAAATAAAATTAATATTTAAATGAAACGAATTTATTATTGCAAGTAATAAAATGATAATAAAATGAGATTACTATATAAACTACATCACAAAAGCTATTTGCAAACTTGAAAATTTGTGACACATGAAAAAGATAGGCTAAACAGACGCGAGAGCACTTACATATAGCAATTACTTACGTACCGAAATAATGTTTTAATTCTCGTTCTCTGATAGCTTGCGGAACTACGTCCGCTATTAACTTTGATAAGCCTAAAATACCCATGTTGACAAAATGTTTATCACGTACGTATAACAAACAACTACAATACGAAACGAACAAGAAATCACTTCCCGCCAAATTACGCAGCTGAATAAAGCATTGAGTATAAAAAGAAACAGAAGGGAGCGTTTATGGTCCAAAAAGTGGTAACGGAAGTAGTTATAAAAGACAGTGTTCCAAAATTCATTGCCAGCGCTAAAAATCTATAGTTTACGTCACGTATATTATACAATTTTAGCACTGGCAGCGTGCTGGCAGCAAGTCTGGAACACAGCTAATTTGAGTCACGTGACATTTTGTTGCCGCAGCATGCTGCTGTATGAAAAGGTACCTTTATATTCATATACATTTATGTTATATTTTATTTTTTTTTTGCATTGTACATTACATTTAACATCTGTTTTTAATTCCTATTTCTAATATTTTCTCTATTGTGCTCAGGCTCTAAGGCCTGGTTTATGCGGGCAAATAAGGCCTTGTTTGGGCCTTGTTTATGCGAGTAATAACTGTTAATTTATGCCAGAATTAGTACAGTTCAACTATAGGATTTCAATGCTTCTGTTATATTCTGTTATGCTTCTGTTAATAAACAGAAATATTAAAATCTTAGGCCCGCATAAACCAGGCCTAAGCCAGCACAATGGGTGCGTTCAGACAACTCAACAGTTGCACAACGGTTGAGAGATAATCACTTCTGATTGGATCATACTGTGTTGGAACCGCTTCAGATTTTGAAGAATAGTCCTATCATAAGTGATGATCTCTCAACCGTTGAGTTGTTTGAACGCACCCAATGTCCATGGGTGGTGCACATTGGCAAATTTAATAAACTTTGTTCTGGGCTGTGTTCAGTTAAGCAAGATGGAACGAACTAATGCAGGAAATGCAAGAAATACAGGAATTGGAACTAATGAAACTAATGAAAGAAGTGAAGATAGTGAAAAAAAAAGAAGGTTGGCTCCCCTGATCTGTTGCGGAACATGTGTAGTGGCAAAATTGGAACCTAAACAATTATTCAAGTTTCCATTCCGAAGAAAGTGAAAAAGGAAATGAGAGAAGGCGGCGTATACAGATTATAATTAAAAAAAAAAAAAAAAAATTGGAATTTATAGAATCAAACAAGGAAGCGCTAATTGTGACAAAAGATGGTGCGATCTACAAAGTAACTTGTGAAAGTGACGAGGAAAAGAGACAATTATATAGACATAGGTTAGTCAGGGACATTAGAAAATTGCACACTACTGCTTCTGTTGTTGTGTGCTGGCTCATCTGGCTCTGCATATTCTTTTTTTCTTCTTTTAAAAT